GTATGTTATTGAATATATTAAAGCTGTAGTGAAATGCTTCTTCTAATTATGTAGTTATTAAAATTTTTTAAATAATTAAAAAATAAGAATAATTCTTCAAAGCATAAAAATTTCCTCCTTAATAATGGTAATGTGAAAAACATTACCATTGAAATCTACCTGATGAATTTATATCAATGCTGGAGCCTGAGGTTCAACTGAGTCTCAGCTACCTCTCAAAACTGCTGACAGGCCTAAGCTGGCAACTTTCCATCCTGCCCGCGGCCTTGGCCCAAAACCTTGGCAGGCAGCCAGGGCCCACGGCCTTGGCTTGCAGCTGGGGCTCACAACCTTGGCTCACGGCCTTGTTCTCTTTTCCAGCATGTGATTCTATTCTTCTATAATCAGAGATTCCTCCCTTAAAGTGAAAAAAAAAATTCAACTGTAAACCTAAAAATTTACAGCCAATTTTGAAAGAGATGCATCTTAGCTTAGAAAATTGTTATTGAATATTTCAATGCTGTTGTAAGGAAATGCTTCTTCTAAATATGTGGTTATTAAATAAATACTTTAAAAAAATTTAGAACTTATTTTTGGCCTTTTTGAGACAGAGTCTTCCTGTAACCACAGCTGGCCTGGAACTTGCTATGTAGAGCAGGCTGGCCTTGATTTCACAGAGATTCCCCTGCCTCTGCCTCCTGAGTACTGGGATTAAAGGCACTTACCACCACACCTAGCATAGAACTTTGATCTTACTGGATATAATTATCCCTCATACAGTTACCTTTACCAGCGAGTTTTGTTTTTTTTTAAACATTCATTAGTTTTTATGCTGTTAATTGGTTTCTTTTTATTTCAGTTGAGCATCTCCCTCAAGACATGGTGTCTTCTAAGGTGGTTATAATAGGAAGGCGTTCTCTTTCTCTTTCCTTGTGAGTCAAGGTCTCATGTAGTCAAGGATGGCCTTGAACTTGTGATAATCCTGTTTCATCTCCCCGATTGCTGGGGTCACAGCTATGTGCCATCATATCTGGCTCTCTTCTTCATTTCTAAAATATGACTTTTATGTTACAGTGCTTTCGGGCATCAGGTTTTTCTTTTTCAATATTTTGAATATATTACCTGCCTGGATCCTGGTCTACAGCATTTCTGTTTAGAATTTCAATGGTAGTCTTATAAAAGCTCCCTTGTATGTGAAAAGTTACTTTTCTGGTGTGTTCAGATGCTTTGCTTTGACTTTTGATGATTTAATGTGTCTTGGTATATATGTTTTGGGGCCTTATGAATCTGGAAGTTCATCTCCAAATTTTGGAAATTTGCATTAATTTGTCCCTTTACATAATATTTCAGTGTCTTTCTTGGATACCAAGGATGCATATATTTTTTTATTTTACTTAAATTTTTGTTTTTGCCCCTCTGACTAGATCATTTCAGAAATGTCTGAATTTAGTGATTCTTCGTTTCGTCAGCTCTCCTGTTACTCTGTTGTGCTTTCCATCCCAGACACTGTACTCGTCGTCTTAGACTTTTGTCTAGTTTGTGATTGTGTGTGCACGTGCATGTGCGTGCGTGTGTGCATGTGTGTGTGGCTGTATTTATTTGTACTTCTCATTTTATTCAAGCATGATTTTCTTAATTTTATTTAGCTGCCTGTTTTCTTATAGTTCACTGAACTTAAAAAACAAATTCTGGATCTCGTCATGGTGATGCATGCCTTTAATCCCAGCACCTGATCTCTGTGAGATTGAGGCCAGCCAGGTCTACACAGCAAGTGCTAGGCCAGCTGGGACTATAGGGAAACCTTGTCTCAAAAAAACCCAAAACAAAACAACAAAAAATAAACAAAAAAAGAAAAAACTTATATGCGGATTTTTTTCAGTTACCAGTCACTTGAGCCTCATTACTTTTCTTCGGCGATGTTATGAAGAAAATCGCATTAATATAAACGCACAAATAAGTTAGGAAGGCAAATGTTGCAGCCTTAGAGGCTAAACACTGCTAGACGATCTTTAAGTGGAAGAAGACCAAGAGCAAATTAAATAATGAAAGTAAAAATGAAGGGGAAGAGAAACAGATGGAGGTCTGAAGGCGGAGAAGGCATAGAACCTGGCGGCTGGTCATGAAGGCTGAGAGAGGAAGACGCTACAGAAAACAATATCAACTTGGGCCACTGCAATGAGGTAGAGCCCTCTTCCGAGGTGGAGGTGTGCTGTTGGCTGAGCCTGGGCCAGTTTAAGATCACACTGGGAGTTGAACATGTAACTGGTCCTGTGCCCTTTCTGGAGGTTGTCTTGATCTTGTCTCCTAGTTCAGAGCTGGCCCACTTGTCTGAGGCCTCTGGCAAGCCTGTAAGGAAAGCTGTCCTTGCTGTGGGTGGGCTCAGCCCTGTCTCAGTCTTGGATGCCACCTGTGAATGGATGCGCAGGTGGGTTTTAGATGCCTCTGAGTTCCTGCTCCTGAACGGAGACTGACCTATTTCCTGCCCAGCAGTGACCATGGCAGTTCTAGAAAACGTGAGACTACTCTGTTCTCAGATATGGGAAAATTATCTTGAAAGGTGAGGAAGGAAATATGGGGTCTAACTGCTGGCAAGTCAGCCTTCCTAGCTGAATCTTGTAAATGATGTGGAAATAATTATTTAATCTGCTGCTACGAGTTTCTTTTAGGGAGGGAACTTTTTGTTTTGTTTAGGAAAATATCTCAATAACCTATAAGGAATGAGACATGAAACAGATCTGTGCAAGAAAAAGGCCAGCATCTCTGTGTGGGGTGAGGGTACAGAAGTGTGAGGACGCGGTGATGGAGAGAGCAAGGAGAGGTCATGGGGACTGGGGCTAGGGTAAGGGGGAGATTTAACAGGCTCTCTGCCTCATTGTGGGCTTCAAGCAGAGCTGGCACTGAATACCAGTGCTTGTGGGGACCCCACTGTTTCAGTCTAATCCTAGTCCTGAAGTCTCAGAAAACCCCAGGAAGCTTTCCCTGCAGGCAATGCAGTCAAAGAAAGGCAAAGGCCTTTGAAGAATGAAGGTGGGGTCTCACGATCAGTCTCTGATTTGTTTGTGATGAGATTATGTGATTCCCTCTGTTGCTCCTTAACCTTTGATAAAGTCTGCTTAGACAGAACGGCTTTCTGGAGAGGTCTGGGAAGAAATCAAGAAGCAGGGCTGTTGTGCATCTAGGCTGAATGAAGCAGGGAGAAGAGGAGGCCCACAGGAAGTGAGACCTAAGAAAGTTCTGGAACCCACCTGACATTGGAAACAGTGACAACTGGAGTTGCAAAAAATTTGGCTAAACTATGGGACTTCCCATCTTAGCTTGCTTTTTAAAAATTGACTTTTAATTTTGGAACAGTTAATTTTAGGCTAGCATCAAAGAAATTAGGAGGGCTTCTATATGCTCTTCACTCCATTTCCTTGAATGCTAACGTCGCATAACCACAGTTCATTCAACAAAAGAGATTTATAGTGACACGTTGCAAAGCTCTTTTGTATTAGATGTTTCCCACTAAAGTAGTGCGGTGGATTCAGTGCCTCATCCCATGCTGCACCTAGAGCACCCCATCATGCTGAACTGGGCACGAAGGGTGAGTGAGTGGTGGCTCCTGCTCCAAGATCCTGCCCACTTTCCCCAGGGGTTCCTTGGGGAACCCCTTTGGGATTCCTCTTTTGACATACACTTGTGTCCCAAGAGGCTGGGCACAGGTACCTGTTTTTCCAACCCCTGGTGCCACCCTATTGAGCAGTCATTGCTGACATTTACTTTCTGTGAGGCTGAGTGATTTACATGACTTTTGTCACTGTAGCTCTGCAGCCACACTACAAGGAAAGTAGTATGCCTACTGTCTCATGTGACACACCTAGACCCAGCGTTGATGGGACATGCCCAGGGCCGTAACAACTGAATTTGTTATGGTGGTGCCTTCAGGGCTGTGAACTGTAACCCATGCCTGCCCTTTCCTAAGGGTGCAAACTACCCAGGAGATGTCAGGCCAGAGGGATGGTACCTTCTTTAGTAGACATTGCAGGATACAAATTAATAAGAAAATTTGGAACTCACAAGGGCAGTGTCAACCAAAACAGTTCAGGAACATGGGGCACATGTGCTGGATTCTGGCAAATACCTACCTAGGGATAAGTGGAGGTGTGCCAAGCACTGCCTCCTGTCACTGCATGCCCAGCTTGCTAAATGCCACTCTGGGTGTGACTCCCTAAGGAGCCTGTATGCTTGGTCCTGACACCTGTGTGCACAGGTTTTGATTGACATGGTGGATATTGCTGCTTTTCCACTGCCTCTGAGAGACAGGACCAGGGAGGATGGCTCTGGGACTGCAGGGCCCAGGCTCTTTCCTTACCAGACTTCTTCAGGAGGCCCTTGTTGTAGCTGGAAGTGAGCATACTGCTATGCTTGCCCTTTGAGTCTGCACCAAACAGCTTGCTTTGGTTACCGGCAGGGTCCTGCTTCCTGGTGGCATTTAGGTCTAGTTGCTTGGAGAGGGTAGGAAAGAAGTTATGACCTACTTATAGGACCTGGCTAGCTCTCCTCCAACCCCAAAATGGTAATTACCAGAGTTTTCTAAGACTTGCCCTGAGCCAGGAAGAGGTTGGAAAGAGCAGAAGTGCTGTCTTGTGCTGGGCTACTGAGACTTCGCTTTTATTCCTCCTTGCCTCCAGGGGAGGCATGCAGTCCATGCAGGGAGGTCTTGGATACCCTGTAACCACAGGGCTATAGGTCCCCCACGGTTCCCTGGGCCCTGGCATCCTTCAGTGGTAGTGAAAGGACATGGATGGAGGAAGGTGTGACGTTTGCCCTCAGGAAAACAGTAGAGGATGAAGCTGCCCAGGGTTGGGAGATACAAAGGATTCCTTTGCTTGGGTGTCGTTGTGGGGCAGGAATGCACCCCAGAACCCTCATCAGACACGTGTCAGACCCTGCAGGAGAGGAGCAGCTGTGGAGGGGGTGAGGTGCAGAGGGCTGTTACCTTGCTGAAGGCCACCTTGCGGCCGTCTCTCTCCTGCTTCTTCCCAGCACCTCTCTTTTCTGCCTTCTCATTTGCTTTGGCGTTTTCCTCATCCTTGGCCTTTTGTTTCTGAAAAGCAGGGGAGGGCCACTCTGTGAGGACGCCATCCACTCCCTGTACAGGAGAAGTTTCCTGAAAAGCAGGGAGGGGCCGCTCTGTGAGGACGCCATCCACTCCCTGTACAGGAGAAGTTTCCTGAAAAGCAGGGAGGGGCCACTCTGTGAGGACGCCATCCACTCCCTGTACAGGAGAAGTTTCCTGAAAAGCAGGGAGGGGCCGCTCTGTGAGGACGCCATCCACTCCCTGTACAGGAGAAGTTTCCTGAAAAGCAGGGAGGGGCCGCTCTGTGAGGACGCCATCCACTCCCTGTACAGGAGAGGTTTCCTGACAAGTGGAGTACCAGTACTGTAGAGCTGTTGGTCCCTTCATTGTCCTCTGGCTTGTGGTCATACTCTGTGTGTGTATGTGGTAATGTATGTGTGTGCATGCGAGTGTACGTGTATGTTTGCACGTGTGCATGTGTGTGAATATGCGTGTGTGCGTGTGTGCACTTGCCCATACAGGAGCATGTAGGAGACCAAAGGTTGACACTAAGCTGTTTTCTTCAGTTGCTTCTTTGCTTTATTTTTTGAGACAGGGTCCTCTCTCACTGAGCTTACTAGTTCTGCTAGGCTGGCTGGCCAAGTCCCGGGGATCCACCTATCTCCACCCCTTCCCAGTGCTGGGGTTACAGGGCCACCATGCCTAGTTTTTACATAGGTGCTGGGTAGCTGAACCTAGAGTCTCATGTTTTGCACAGCAAACACATTTTACCTATTGAGCCATTACCCCGGCCCCAGGACGACCTTTCAGACCCTGGATCTGGTCTTGTCCCGCTTCACCTCAGAATCCATGAACAACTCCCGGTTACTCTCTGTGGAAAGTCCACTCCTCAGTCCTGGCAGGAACTGCAGCCCCCTTCCAAGTGGCCTTGTGTCTGTGACTTCCCTGGTTGGTGTCAATCTCAAGCCACAGGAAAGCTGTCTTGTCTCTGAGCAGATCTTTCTCATTCAGACATTTGGGCCTTGGTTCAGCCTGACTGCCCCCATCTTAGAGACCCTCCTTTCTTCATGCCACCCTACCACACTGCTGTCCCAGAGTGCTTGTCATGATTAGCCTTTCCTTTTTCTTTCCTTGAGGGCTTCTTGTGACCTATTGAGGATTGGGCAACACTTCTGTTAACTGAGTTGTCTATGGCCTAGGATGGCCTTGCTGTTCCACAGTGGGAGCAGGGAGGACAGGCCATTTGAGGATCTCCAAGGTGCCAAGGGCAAAGAGTCCAGAAAGATACATTAGGCCACATGGGAAGCCTCCCATCCAGTCTATCAGGGGAGGGGAGGGAGTGCTGAAGCATTGTGGGAAAGACCCGGTTGGCTAATGCTCCTGGAGGTGTACCACTTGCGGCTCAACGGGCGACTGTCCCAGGTTGTGGGCTCCAGGACACCTTGCCTCTGTGGACTTATAGACTGATGACCCTGGCTGTGGGTTCCAGGTTGCCTTGCCTGGTGGAATCCCAATCTGTCACTTACTTAGTGATCACATTATCTTGGGCAAAGCCTGCTTGCTCCATGACTCAGTTTCCCTGTCTGATGGCCAAAGTAGCAGTAGGATCTGCCTCACGAAGTTCATGTGAACAGTAACTGACTTCTGGGTGTGATGTGAAACCTGTAAGGGCTCTAGAAGGGGTCACTGTACTGGTGAAGTACGGTTCTGAGAAGCCAGGGTATGTCTAAGACAGGACTCACAAAGCTGCCTTCTAAGGGGGCAGCTGGCTCACGTCAGGGTTCTGCTTGGCTTAGCGGGAGAAGGTGCAAGTTGGGGCCAGGGATGGGATTTCAAGTAGAGAAAGAGGCAGAGCATCTCCTCCCCGGGATTTCCCCCATGAGCGCCTGTCCTCACAGGGCTACATGGAGGTGATGTGGTAAAACCTTAGACCCAGGTGAAGTGTAGTGGTTGCTGATTCAAAGGCCTGTGTGCCCGAGACCCTGGACCCCAAGGATTCTCTGAGTCCAGGTGGATGCCACAGGGAAGCATCATAAGCAATCTGGAATGGGGGCGGTGTCAGTCAGTCTTGATTGTCAACTTGACTTGAGATTAGGGGATTAGTGGAGCACAGTTCTGGGTGTGTCTGTGATGTTTCCAGAGACAATTGGATCCCAAGGGTCTGACCTAGTTAATAGAGTCATCCCTTGATGGGTTCATAATGTGATGACATTACTGGGGGACGGAGAATGTGGGAGGTGGTGTGCAGTGGAGGAAGGTCCCTGGGTGTGTCTTGGTGCTAACCTCGATCCTTCTTGTATTCTTTCTCTCTGCTGTCTGCTGCCACTACATCCTGCCCACCCTGATGGACCGAACCATCTGAAAACATGAGTCCAAAGAGATCTTTTCTCCTTTCTCCTTTTTTCCCTGTCAGGAACTGTCACAGTGCCCAGAAAAGTACTTATTGAAGGACAGAGCCTGCATCACCGGCCTGATCCCACAAGAAAGGAGAGGAGGCCAAACCAGCCTCCCCAAGCCATCTTCTCCAAAAGGTCTCCTGCCTCTGCTGTGGCTGAGACCTGCCACAGAAGACCTTTTACCCTATTTATTCAAAATCTAGATGCTTCTGGGGCACACAAGGATGCATGGAGATTTGTGTTTTAAGTGTAAATTTGTTCCTTTTCTAGGTCTAAAAGTATTTACAGGGACGCCACCTAGAAGGCAAGCCTAGTGAAACGTTGGAATGTTATACCTGGAAAGAAGAAGGGAACCTGTTAACCATGAGATAAACAGTCTCGGTGACTGACTCTGAATTCCAAAAGACGCAGCAGCCAGCCAGCCAGCCCCCTGCTGCCCTCACCCCCAGATGAGGATGGAAGGGCAGGCCATCAGCAACTGTTTAGCACCTTAGAGGGGTGTCTGTGAGCCTGTCCGGTGGGATGGTGCCCAGCTCCTGGCTGCACATGAGCTTCTACCTGAAGGCCGTGTTGGAACTGCAGAACAGAGAGTGGACGAAGCTGAGGGGTTGACCCACCAGAGCTCAGAAGTGTGGGAACTGGATAAATCTGAGTTTGAGACTCACTCAGTCCTCTATTAACTCTTTAACCTTGAGGAAATGTTTTTGTTCATCTCAGTTTCCATGTTCTTCAGCTAGAGACAACCATGGCCCTCACCCTGTAGCCTGGCTGGGAGCAGTGGATAACAGTCTGTTCATAGTAAATGTTAGCTACAGGATGAGTGTCATGTTGTATTCACCCATTTGCTCTGGAACTGGAGGGCACAGGATCCATACATCCTCTACAGTTAGGGAGTTTGGGACCCGGGCATCTTCTCCAAGAAGGTGCCACTTTCCGCAGGCCTGACTTCCTTTCACAACCAGATGGTGGGCTTGGAGGCCCTGAACTCTGAGGGAAACCAAGGCAAATTTGGTACCTAAGTCTCCTGGAGAAAAGGAGAGGGCTGGTGATAACAGTCCCTGAGGTAGGGGAGGAAGGGGGTATGTGCTAGAAGGAATCTCAGTGTGGATGTGGTAGAAGGAATGAATGTTCTGTTTTGGAGCCACTGGGAGGAGGGAGGTGTTTGGGAACAGTGGGAAGACACCCATCTTGTCAACACAGAGACCCCAGAGGTCACTGCTCCTAGACCCTTTCCAATACTGACAGACATTCACAATGCCCACAGCTTAACCAAACTTCAGACAGGCTTCCTGACCACAACCTGCTGACTCGACTGCCTTCTTCCCGAGTGTCTGCTTCAGGATACTTGCACTTGGGAGATATTTTTCTCTGCCCCTGTGAGATGTGAATCTTTTAGCCTCATCCTGCGTTTTCCATACAGAAGTGTCTTTCTCAAGGACCTGGAGCTACACCCCTAAAACACAGTCATTAGGAAAGACTGTTGCCCTGTCTGTCTTCGTGGGAGAGGAGAAGCCCAGCCTTGACACCTGCTATCAGCAAACACAGACAGCCTAACTGGTATGTGACCTATCCTCTGAGCCTTTCCCATTAGCTTAGTCCAGTGCTTAAAAATATCCCTGCCTCCTTCGTTTGGGGTAGAGCTCCATCTCTTTCCTATTAAAACAGTCTTGCATAAAGTCTTCCAGCAATTTTGACAGTACACACCTGGAAAGTATGCTTCTTCTTGCCCTGCCTCCGCTCCAGCCACTCCAGCACCCAGGTGAGGTCAGATATCCGCCTCTCCTTGGCCGTCCTCCATGTGGACTTCCTTTCAGTAGGCATGAGATCCTTGAGGTCCTGTGACATGCTTGTGTTTTGGCTGTGCCTTAGCAGGGGGAGGCAGACACTTTTCTCTCTCTTGGTCCCTGGGTCTCAACTTGCTGATGTGGTGGCTCACAGGTAGGATGTGGCCTCTAGATGTGATGACAGAAGGCAGAGGTAGGAAGCAGCTGGGTGCTGGCCTTGGGGAGAGAAGGTCTGGGGAATGATTGTGAGGTCACTGTTGGCTTGGTAACTGGCCCCTAGGTCAGGGTTCAGAGTGGAGAGAGGATGCGAGCTGCCTTCCACTCTTCCTCACGTGGTCACAGTCCCTCTTGAGGCTATTCTCTCTTCCGGATTCTGCCGTAGCCTTCTTATGGCCTCTCTGTCCCTTGTGTGAGATGTTTCACGAGGAGATAAAACACACATTGGTTTCCAGACAGGGAACCAATGACAGACCAGAGTGACAATGGCACCAAAGACCAAGTTGGTTAACCACTGAGTTTCCTGTGGTTCCTTACAGGAATACGGGTAAGGGTTTACTTACAAGAGTAACGAGGCAAAGGAAGCCGCCCACTAGCAGTGTACCCCAACATGGGTGAAGACTCTCAACAGCTGCCATCCTGGAGTTCTCTCCTGCAGGCAGCGCTGAGTTCCCTCCCCAGGACTGATTACTGCCTCCATAACTTTGGGAAGGGACCTTCTTGGTACTTGTGAGTTATTTGCTTTTTGAGGCTCATGTACCACCCCCTCCTTCCTGGAGGGAATATTTCAATTTAGAGGAAATTGTTATACAACATTCCACTCCTTTCATCTGGTTCTTAATTCTTTTTGCTCCCTGTTTCATGATGCTCCCTGAGCTTTGGAGGGGGTGGGGATGTAGATGTCTATCTGTGGCTGAGCATTGGGTCACTGTGCCAAAGCAGCTGCCACTTGTTCTCAGGTACTTGATGAGGGGTTATGAGTCTCTGTGGTACACTATCCATTGTAAAAGGAAGTTTCCTTCCATGACTGATTGCTGCTGACAGCAGCAGAGATCTATAGGCATAGGCATAAATATTTCTAAGGAGGTTAAATAGACATATCACATCCATGTAACAAAACAATGGCAGTGGCCTTCCCACTGACGCCTAAGACTTCCCCAGCAGCAAATTTTGGCCTGACTTGCAGTACCAGATATGAGTTCCCACCTTAAATCCAGTTGGAAAGCTATTAGTTGTACCCATGATAGTCAAGTCACTGCTGTACCAGCAGTGACTTCCCGCTTGGTATTTCGGTACTGTAGGATGTAAGGTTCTTAGCTGAGCAGGACCGTTGGTGATAGTTCTCTCTCAGCATCCCACATTGCACCTTCTAACATTATGAGAGCTAGCCAGTAAGGAGGGAGCTCCACGCTCAGTCCCAACTTTATCATTCTGTGTCTTGTACCCAAAGCATATGGTATATTCAACATTAGGATCTTACCATCTAGTTCTGGGACACAAACAACAGCAGTGGCAGTGGCCTTCATGGTTTGTGGAGCCTCAGGTAGCCCACTCCTGGCACTGGGACTTTCATTCAACAACCTTATGGCCTCTGGGACTGTCTTTTTCTACATGTGCAGGTTGCCTCCTGTCTTTAAACTCATTAACTGCTGCTTTAATGACCCCTTCTCTCTTTCTGTTAACCCAGCCCTTGTAGCATTGTATGGAAGTTAGAAGACCCACCAAGCGTGGTTGTCTTCAGCCCAGTTTGCACGTCAGTGTTTGTGAAATACTACCTCCATAACTGTCAGTTCCACAAGTGCCCATACATAGCACCGAACTGGGTGAAACCTTTGATGCTGGCTTTAGTTGTTGCTGAACTAAACTTGCATGGAAATGCTTATAAGAGACCTATGTAGTGTCTACACAGGTGAGAGCATATTTGCATCCCTCATTGACACACATAGACCCCTTATGGGGCAGTTTTGATTTATGTACATGTCTCATCATAGCATCCATCCACTGAGGCCACAACTTGGAACAGGCCTTACATGACTGGATAACATGCAGAATATCAGAGTATTATAAGCATGCCAGTGACTTTAGCTACTTTCCATCCTTTGTTGGCTCTCTTGTGACCAGACTTTACGTGAACCCAGTGAGCAGCCTCTAGTGGCACCTGAGTGCAGATAGTCCCTAAGACATCTGTTTTCTGATTTCCAGGAGGACTCAATGGGCTGTGGGCTGCCATACTATCAAGAGTTCTGATTCTTGTTCCTCCACTTGATTGGGCCCCTGCCTGGCTGCCCTACCTGCTTCACTGTCCTCACTAGCAGACAACCTTGGATACCCGATCAGGAGTGGCTGGGGTGGTTCTCATCCCAGGACATCTCCTTCCTCTACAGCTCAGGGGTGCAGTAGGGACCACCTGTACTCCTTGTCTTCCACTCCTGTCAACCCTTTGGTGAGCTGCTGGTCAGACTAAAGTTTCCCAAAGGGTGCTGGAGAGATGGCTCAGTGATTAAGGAAATGTACTGCTTGAGTTTGATTCTTAGCACCCACATTGGGTGGCCCACAGCCACTTGTAACTAGAGCTCCAGGGGCCCTGACCTCTCTGGGCTCCATGGGCACCTGCACTCACATGCAAATACCCACATGCACACATATACAAAATTTTAAAAATTTCAAAGTCTTCCAAAAATAAGGACGGCATTTGGTTTCCTACCTCTATTTTCCTGTAGGGACTCTAGCTTGACACAAATCTTGCACGTTTGAGTAACTGGAAACAGGATCCATTGTCCGTTTTCTCCTTTCTTGTGCCTTAGCATCTTATAAACTTGATTCGTACTGCTCTAGGTTACTCAGGTCTGCCAAAGCCTCTCCTACTTCATAAGGATCATTTCCTACCACAGGATTCAGCAAAACCACTGAGCTCCATCCTGATGTCCCTGATGAATGAACATCCTTCTCATCTCTCAGCTAAGTAACGTTCTATATGTCTTGGTGAACTGGTCATCAAACACCCATTTTCTTATCCTAAAAACTTCTTTTTAAAAATATATTTTATTTATTATTTTTTTATGTGTATGAGTATATTGCCTGCATGTATGTATGTGTAGGCATGTCATGGAGTGCCCTCAGAGGCCAGAAGAGAGTGTCCGATCCCCTGGAACTGGAGTTACAGATGGTTAGCCACATGTGGGTGCTGGGAATCGAATCGGTCCTCTGGAAGAGCAGCAAGTGTTCTTAAGCGCTGACCCATCTCTCCAGTCCCCATTCTTAGTTTTTTTTCTCTCTCTCTCTCTCTTTTTTTTAAATCACTTTTACCTCATTTTCTTTCTGTCTTTACTATCCAGTTCTTCCCATGGGTCTCCAGTTTTTGGATCCCAGGAAGGATTCTTCAGCACAGTTCTAACAGTTCTAACTCCCTCTTTCATCCCCCGGCCTTAAGAAGCTGCAAACCAACACCTGTACTTTATCTTTCCTTTTTCCTCTTTCCTTTCCAAATCAGAGGCTAATGTGGAGGAGGCTAACCATCACCCTTCCCCTTTCTAATTGCTCCTTTACACATGCAAGTTCCCTCTGGGGAGCCATCTCGACCTCAGATGCATCTCTTGGTATGCACAGCAGCAGGCAGGCAGCCTCTGTGGCAGCTTGCTGACATGCCCTTCTCTTCCATGTTACTCCCAGGGACCACAGAATTAGTTCTAATCCTCTAACCATTGTTAGAGCATCTCTGCACTCACATGGTGGACTCTACTCATCCAGCAGACATGCTGTTCCATACCGCATAGAGGATAGCCGTCAGCCCCTGCCCCCCTAGACTCGATACCCACACTTTCCTTCTGGGTCGAGGACTTATCATCCAAAGGTAGGCCCATGCCATTACTGCGGTAAACTAGAAGGTACGCTACCCCACCTCACACACGGAAAGGTAGCCATGTCGGTATCTGCCCTGAGGATGCTCCACCTCAGGCTGTGCAGCCTCAAGAGCCGCCCATTAAACAACATTCCTCTGTGGTTCCTGCTTCATTTCCTGCCATGGCTTTCGCAGTGATGGGCTGTGACATAGAAGTGTAAGTCAAATAAACCTTTTAAAGCTGTTTTATTACAGCCGCAGATGAAACTAGAAAACATGGCAGTCTAGGCTTTGCCTCTGTGTGAGCTTAGCTTTCTGATCATTGTGACTTCAACAACTTCAAGTGAGAAAATATTTATTTTAGCTCTCAGTTTCAGAGGTATTAGTCCACGGGATTGGCACTCCAGAAATTTTTGACTCTACAATGGCGGCTGCCTATTCCAGGTATGGGGCTGGAGACACAAGGCAGGAGGAACACTCAGCAGCCCTCCTAAGTCATGGGAAGAGAGAGGAGGCAGGCAGTGACTACAGGATCTGTGATAACCAATGAAAAGGAGTGCTCCAAAGAAAAGGACTACAACTCAGCCTCTGCTGCCAGGAGCAACAGTGCTGGACTCAGGGAGTGGGTCCCACTTGAACACTGAGTTAAAGGGTAAGTAGGCTTTAACAGGGCTGCTATATTCCGAACATTTTTGTATCTCTCAAATTCAAATTCACATATTGAAACCCTACCTCTGAAGTGATTAGAAGGTGAGGGTTTGGGAAGTGAGGGTCTGAGGGTGAGCCCTCATGAGATTACACCTTATGGGAAAAGATCACAGAGAGTTAATCAGCCCCTCTTATCATGTGTACACACAAGGAGAAGATGCCTTCCTAGATACTGGACCTGCTGGTGCCTGGATCTTGGACTTCCAGCCTCCAGGCTGGTGAGGAATGGATACTTATGGTTTATAAGACACACAATTTGTGCTGTGTGTGATTGCAGCCCTAACGATAGGGAGCAGGAGGGATGGATAAGGCTGCTTTCATATTTCATACTGTAAGAGCAAATTTGTACTCTTACTGTAGGAAGGAGTTTGTATGTACATGTTATTAATAGCTTAGTACATACAACACCCTTAATGATTTGAGTGAATTACACTCCTCTAGCCCAGATGCCCTGGAAGAGTACTAGGCACATACCAGAGGTCACTAACTGCAATCAGCATTTCTGGAAGTACCTGAATC